TTTCTTAATTGAGGGTTTTAGGTTGACAAACCAATCTTTCCTTCCATACATGTGTGATGAGTATCCTGAATCCAAGTATCACTAATCCTTAAATTTTTCTGCATCTCTTCTTGTTGTGAGGAAGAAGAGTGAAACAAAATTGAATTTGAAACTTGTTACCTTAATATGGTGCCTTCTCTATATAGAGAGAGAAAGTAAATATCTAACTTGCTATTTGTTAGTCATGAAATCTAGAGACTTGGTGAATACACTTGCAATTGAGATATTTTATATTCATTAAAGTGATAGTCCTCATGTAATGAGAAGATTATGGAATGAATCTGGCCCCTTCCTAGTGGTTGGCCAAAAAATTCTCTCTCTCTCTCTCTCTCTCTCTCTCTCTCTCTCTCTCTCGCTCTCTCTCTCTCTCTCTCTCTATCTATCTATCTATCTATCTATCTAAGATAATGATGTTTACAAATTTGAGTGGTAAAAGATGTGTTAGGTTTAGGCATAACTTAATGAACTGATGTTTTTATAGGAAAAAATGAATAATCTTTCCACTCGGTTGGTAGGATAACCGAAGGAATATATGACTTACTATTTAATTAAAAATAAAATAAAAAATAATGACATCCTTAAAAAATAAATAAAACACAAATCGTATAGGCTAGGATTTGAAGAGTGTTCCTTAGTTACTATACCCCTCGATTGTGTGTAGCCACCGAGGGAATAGATTGTAGTTTTTTTATAAAATAATATGGTGAGCCCATGGTTTATACCTAAGTTATTTATTGGGTTAAGTGAAATTTGTGCCATGAAATGTGTTATTTGTCGTAGTGTATGCAAGACATATTTTAGGGTGCCCATGTTACCAGATTGAGTTTCTTCTTAGGTAGGGCAACTAAATCATCTTCTAACTTAGACAGAGAGGCACCTAGCTTGGTGATTTTCTAGTTTAGGACATAGGGTTTAGGGCTTAGGATTAGGGTTTAGGGATTTGGTTGGGTAAGTATTTTACTCTCTCTTCCATACTTAGGTTCCTAGCTTGCATCATCATCATCATCTATATCTATACAAAGGATGATGCTCAGGATTGCAGGTGCTCTCCTCAATTCAAAGTTACATTGGTAACACTCCTAGACGATTGCATTGTCCCCTTTAATCAAACCAACAATCCCTTCAACTAGCTGGTAGTTAGGCTTATATGGAAAATGGACAAGACCACCCTTAACAAGTTGAGGGAGGGCCTTACCAAGATGGTGTTGTAAGGGAACATGTCATCTACGACAAGGCACTTCCCTTAGATGCTTCTAGCGCTCATCGCTTAGCCTAATGTTTTTTCGAGGGTGACGTGACCAAACTTAGCCCTTGGAAGGCACTCTAGAACAAGATATTTATTGAGCTCTCGGGGTTGAGCCGCTTCAAATCCCAATTAATATACTTAATTGTGATAACCATGGGATCATTATTGTCGGAGAGAGCTCTAACTATGTCTTCCCTCGAAAAGGTGATTTGGTACTCTCGATATCTCCCTAAAGTTTGATCGTCTTGATAGGCGCAAGACTTATTGTTAACACTTGTTAGGCAATCCATCTCTGAGAGTTTTTTGCATTCAAGACAATTATTGATCATATAGAAAATGCATATTTTTACACTAAATATAAGATTTGGTTGGAATACATACTAATTTGTGTGAATGATAATCTCATAAGGGATTAATTTGTTTACCTAATTTTTATTTTTGTTAATTTTGTTTGCTGATTTTCTGTCGATAGATTAATGTAAACAAGTTTATGATATTTATGTTCAGCCTTTGAAAAAAACATTTATTTATATTTATGTATTAATATAAACAAATTATTAATATTTATAAATAAATAAATAATACTAGTTAATTAATTTGCAACCAAAAGCTAAACTGGTTTTAAATATATAATTCAAAGTAATAATTGTATTTATTGATATACCTATGATATTTATCCTTGATTTTTTTTTAAATTATTAAAAAAGTTTAACTCGTAAAAAATTTAAATTAAAATATGGTTTTCATAATAGATGTTTGTAAAATTCATAATACTATGTTAATAGAAAAAACTAGTAAGACATCTGTGCTCCCACATGAGAAAATTTGTTTAAATATTATAGAAATAATTTTTTTAGATATATGTATGAAAAAATCATTTTTATTGGTAATAATTGAAAAATAAATTTTTTTTCTTCAAATAACGGTAATAATTTGATAGTGATATGTAAGATAAAAAGTAAGTTGTGTGAATGACTATGTAGTATTATACAATTTGATAAGATGCATTTTTAATTTTATTGAAGTTAAAAAATAGATTAAGTAGTATTTTTTAGTAATAATAAACAAATAGAATAGATTAAATAGGTTCTAAATACAAAAAAATTCAATATATTGGTCAGATGATGAACAATGGTGCATCATCTAATATACATAGTCTTTAATGAATATTGGTCAAATGATAATTATAGGGTTGCATTTGAAAAGAAAACATGAATAAATTAATTTGATATAGTATAAAATATATTTAAGTATACAAGTTAATTTGAAATAAATTATTTAATTATAAAATAAACAATGATCCAATAAACTAAAATGTATTAAATGATCATACAAAAACGAAGAAAAAAAAATTCATAAAATAGAGAAAAAAATTATCTTAAAAATAAAATAAATATTATGCTGATAGTGACCCGTAAAATAATTATTTTATTATCATATTTATGTGCTAATTCTTCGTTCATTTTATCTATTTTCTATCTCATAATTTATAAATACAGAAATTATATATGTCACAAAAAAATATACAATGTACATCTATATTTAATATTTAGTTTGACATCAACATTCATTTTCTCTTACAAAAGATAGATTACTAATAAAATTTCTCCAGCTATGAAAAGAAGGCTCATATTAGAAGTTGTATGATACAAAACCTATTGAATAATATATCTCAATATAGAACCTAACATATCAAAATTTAAGAGTTTAAACACACTAATGTCTATCTTATACTAATCACGAAAAATCAAACCTCAATATGATCAAAGTAAACCTATGTATGGGTATGGTTCAACTTTCCTTGCTTTCATTTTTACACTTTCTAGCATTCACCATATTCAGAGAAATTTGTTTTTTCAATAAAATAGACATTTTATCAAATGCATGAAAAAATAAATTTTGCATGCATAAAAAATCAATATATTTACAACTAATTCAAGTTTTGTTAAATTTGTAAAAAATATTATAAAATATAAATTATAGATCTCAACTAAATATAAATTCATTAAAGATATAAATAATAGCACCTTGTGACTATTACTTCAAGGTACTTTGTGTTAGGCCAAACACAAGGTATTATACGCTTCCAATACGCTTCCAATTCTCCCAGGAACATTGTTTTGTTATGAAATCGGCAAGTTTGAGAGTCAGTTTCAATATTTTCGACATACACTTTACAATGGAAGGGTTCGGTATTTTCGGGTTTAGGGTACCAGTGGAGATATCATGGGCTAATTGAGCCCAATTTAACTGAAGAAACCAAATGGCCTGAAGAAGCCCAGATAGAGAGAGGAGTTTAAGATGAAGAAAAATAAATTGAAATGAATAGGAGGGGAAAATAAAAAAACCTTTCATCTTTAGAATAATATAGCAAGTGTAAGTAAGTGGGGAAATAGTCCCACATTGAATAGGAATGTGAAGACTTAAGCATATATAAGTGGGAGAATCCACTCACCTATCACCTTAAGGTTTTAGGTGGATGAGTGACGTGTCTCTCACAAAAGTGACTAGTCCTACAAATATTCAAGTTATAGTTCAAATATTTTTTGAGGAAAGGGCATAATAGGCAGTTTGGTCAATTCAATAGCAATTGCTTTATAATAGATATATTATTAATTTAAAATATGTTAATAAAATATTTTTTTTAAAAAATGTAATACTAAGATGATCCTAGATAATATAATAATATATTTTAATTAGATCCCGACAACTTCATCTAATCAAATAATAATATTTAATATAATATTATATTTTAATATTATTTTATTTTAAAATAAAGAAAAATAATAAATTTATTTACATTAAAGGTAACAATATCCAACCATAATACATGATATTTGTATGATAAAAGGGCGGAAAAGAGTTGCCTCCTCAAATCCAAACTCAAATTTTTAAATATTTCTTATTTTCTGCCCTAATCTTTATCGAGGATGAAAATTTAAAATTAAAATTTATTTTAATTGGGTTTTATTTGAGTTTGGATATCTCTGTCTCACCATTATCCAGTTAGAGAAATTAATTTTCAGAATAAAAATATTTTTTTTTTCAAAATCAAACTACATTACAAACAATAAAATTAAACAATCTAAAACGTTTCACATATATTTCAAATATTTTAAATAATAAATAGATATTAAAATATTAAAATATTAATTACATTTTTAAAATTCTAACTTATCAAAACAAAATTATAATGTATTTATAAAATAAATAGAACGGATTTGGGTCGATTTCGAGAGCGTATTGAGGTGAATACTAATATTTCTACTACTTAGCCCGTTCCCATAATTTATAATTGGAAAAAATTCAAATTCAAATCAAACCCAATTAAAATGAATTTTATTCATTCAATTTAGAATACATTCGTGTAGATATACACCAATACAGATTATGTTGCCACGTCGATATCAAAGAATTTTCCTATTATGTAATATATATGTTTTTTTTTGACAGATACATTCAATTAAATTGAAAAGAATTTTCCTATTATATAATATATATGTTTTTTTGACAGATACATTCAATTAAATTGAAAATTTTGGTTGTTATACAATTTTTTTCAAAATAAATTTATAGATATATACAATTTTCCTATTATATATACTTTTTGCATTATTCTCTTCTATATAACATCTCATGGTGAATCATTTTAATCACTTCATTTTTATTCATTCTCTCTTTTTGAAACTGCGGTCTTCATTTTAGTTTCTAAGCAATGGCCAAGGTTAAGAAAATACTCTGAAATAGATAAATTATTTTTCCTGCTAGTTTTTTTTCTTTTTAGTTTTTTGATATTTTAACACAATGTTCTTGTTTAATATTATTTTATTGGTCTCTAATAGTATAAATATTTTATGGACTTAAAACTACAGAAGGTGAATGGAACAGGTGCAAAGAAGCCAACTGTTGATTTAGAATATGCTTTGAAATTTGTGTCTAAGGTTAAGGTAAGTTGTATGCTGAACTCTTTGCAATCATATATGTTTTTAAAGTGGAATTAATTATTGCACATTTTTTCTTTTTATTACTCTTATGGTTTCTTCTAATACAGACTCGATTTAAACGTGCTCATCAGCATCATGCTTATCCATTGTTTCTGAACATCTTGAATTCCTTTCGAGCAAAGAAAAAGAGTGTTGCTGACGTCATTATTGAGGTATATGTTGTATTGCTTATATCATGATTTTAAAACAAAAAGAGTCTTTTATTTCTCATTTTTCTTGTGTGATACTCATGATATTTGTAATTGGATTTTTTTCAGGTTAATTTTCTTTTGAAAGGCCATGATGATCTGCTGGACGAGTTTACTAATTTTCTTCCTTGATTGGGCTAGTGATATGTATGAGTTTAATTCATGAATAATAAATATTGCAAATGTTAAAATCTAGGGCTTGAATATGGAGAAAGAATATGGTCTTAGATACAATTTTAATGTTTGTAATTTTTAAGATTTGATAAACTTCTGTTTCAATAAATTATCTAGGGCTTGAATGGTTGTGATGAATGATTGATTACTTATTAAACTTTTATTATCAAGTTTTAATTATTAAATATAATACTTTTTATGTTAAATAATATATTTTTAATTAATATATAATTAATTAATTATTTAATTTTATATTCAACGTCTTCCTCTTCAAATATTTATTTTTTTCATTTTCTTCATCTTCAAACATACATCTTCTCTCTTCACTATTTTATTTATATTTCTAAAATTATGATACAAAAAATCTCAAAACAAAAAATTTCAACAAAAATCTGAAAAAAATATAGACAATCACAATAAAATTTGGATAAAAATTACAGAACCACCACAAAATTTTTAAATTTAGAATTACCACCAAAAAATCTCAAAACAAAAAGTGACAACAATAAACTTAATAAATTTTATATATATGTTCAACAAATTTAGAAAAATAAAATTAGAAGAAACCTTTTTTTTTCTCCTAAAAAACAAAATATATTAATAAAAAATTAAATAAATCTTTTTCATAGATGAAATGGACTCATCCCTTCTACAACTAAGAAAGAGAGAAAAATTAATATAGAAAAGTACAATAAACAACTCTGCAAAACATATATCAAATCACCAAATTGATAAAATATAGAGGTGGCGATTAAATTCATTAAGCTAAAATTCATTCATTTAATAAATTATTTGTCCAATACATATATATTATACAAAATAATAGTTAATAGATTGAATCCAAAATTTCATCCAACCAATTTAAAAAATTTATTGAATGTTTAAATGTTATTTTAAATTTAAAGGATAATTTATCTAATCAAATAATTAAAAAATTGGTAAAAGTAAAAAAAAAAATGATTTTTTTAATAAAAAATTGTGATGCAGATTCAAAACTGCAATTTCCCCTTTACTCATTTAAAAGTTCAAATTCTAATGACTAAGCTTTTAGACCGAAAAAAGTAGAAAATTAAGAACAATTAAGGTGAGAAAACAAGGTAATATATTTTTAAGTCAAAAGAAATATTTTTTGTAGAGACATGTTACTTTTTTTTTATGGGAGTGCGATTAAAATATTAAATAATGCAAAAAAAAATTATATATAATCATTTTATGGAACTTTTAAAAAAACTATATTTAAAAAGTAAAATGAATTGATATAAAAAATAAAATAAATTGATGTACAACAATAAATTATTTTATTTAATTTACAGATGGATGAATTAGATGTTATTTATTTTTAATGGATGAATTAAATTGTATTTTTTTTAAAAAAAATTTAGTGAATCATTAATAAAATAATGAATTATTTTGATCATTCTATTACATTTCATTCCTTATCGATCCAATCTATCTACTTATCGATCCAATCTATCTACTTTTTCACTCCTATCCATGGTTGCACACAAATGACAATGTTTATTCCTTTATATACACATCATATTCAATATTTAAAACTTATCGAAATGTATATCGAGTTTAACCTATTTAAGATTTAATAGATAATACCGTCGTGAAAAATAACCCTTTAATTTTTTAAAATCCAAGTGAACAAATGGATAGGAGAACTATTATCTTATATAGTTCCAAGATAATATTTGTATCTGCCTGTTACATCTATCAACACAAGTGCTTATTTTGGATTGTGTCGTTGGACAATAAGAACTTGTAGGAACAATATTTTGTTTAAAACTGATTTGTTAGGTGAGATGGACATTATTGGTCAGATCAAATCCTTGAATTGACAGTAGTTTTTAGTCAATGTTAAAGGTCAACTGCATTTCCAATGGCTCGATTGGCAAACTAATCCAGGTTTATGTTTTTCTTCTTGATGTTTTTGTGTCTTCTCGTTGAATTATCTTACTTTTTACGAGATTTGAGTACCATTTGTACTCATGTTTAATATAATTCTTTTTGCTAATAAAAAATGGATTTATCAGAAAATATCCATATGTTTTGTATTCTCCATATATTTTCACAAACAAAAAATCACATTTAACAATTTCTATTATGGAACTATTAGATGTATATAGTAATTCAAATCTATTGGATAAGTTTCTGGGAGTATTCTGGTGAAAACAACTTAAAAATAAGCACTTCTGAAAGGCAGTGAATTGTTGTTTCGTGGGCGTAATCGATTACGCCAATATGCATAATCGATTACAAAGGCAAATTTTGTTTCTGTTTTTCCAGTTATCGCAGCCGTAATCAATTACGATTTTTAGTGTAATCGATTACGAGCTCGTATTTTAGATTTTTTGGATTATTTTTTTGAGTTTTTTACTTTCCAACTTATTTTTTTAGCTTGTATATAAGGACCCTCAAATGTAATGTTTAAAAGTAATAACATTTGTGATATTTTCTCTTCAAACCTCAATTACTCTCCTCTCTCTCTCTCTCTCTCTCTCTCTCTCTCTCTCTCTCTCTCTCTCTCTCTCTCTCTCTCTCTCTCTCTCTCTCTCTCTCTCTCTCTCTCTCTCTCTCTCTCTCTCTCTCTCTCTCTCTCTCTCTCTCTTATTTTCTAATTTCATATTTTCAATTAATCATTTTTCTTTATTAATTCACCAATTTATTTTGTGTATGTTCTAACATTTGGCATCAAGAGTCTTGTTTCTGATCCATTAATCCGCTGTAAATATGACTACTGTTTCCAATGATCGAATCCCCATGTTGAAGCAGTGTAGCGGCAAGCAACAAAAATGTTGGAAATATTTATCTGGAAATTTATCGTGTCCACAGAGATTGGTTATTAACTTGTCGTTCGATAATTCTCTTGTTAATGAGTTTGGGATTGAATGGATTTGTAAAGAAAATGTTATCAATAAAAAATGTAAACAAAAGAAAAAAAACTAAGGAACAACTTATCAAGTCTGCATATAATCTACTCATCACAGACTTAAATTTACTGACTAGTTACATTCAACCTAACTATACTCATCAATGTCACTACCTATCACTCACAACCTAAGTCATTTCTAATCCAAATTGAGAGACCGACTGTATCACCAAGGAAATGATATCTCTACCTCCTCAAAAACACAGAAGACAACTATGTAATCACACTGACGATCTCTCAGTACAACACAATCACACAGAGGCATTAAGCTCTGATACCCAAGTAGATGTCATCTCTAAATCTATCTCTAGAGTTCACAAACTAACAGATAATCATGCTAGATAAGAATCTAAGCAGTATATGTCTATAACAACTCAAATCTCTAGCACAAAGCAAAAATCTAAGATAATAATCGACAAAGATTTGTAAATCAAGTTTAATATAACACCATGGGTGACAAATATACAAAAGTTCAGAGTAAATACATGTACAAACTCAACACATAAAGAATACACAAAGAGAAAGAGAAATGAACCATAAATCTCCTGGTTTGTTAGCGCCGATTGATGAGAAATCTACCCCAGATCATCCGTATGCAAATTTCAATGTTGTTTTCTAAGCTAATCCTATCCAAAAATGAAGGTTGATGGAGTTGGGATAAAAAATATCCAAAACCATACCCAAAAAATGTGTTTTTATACCTAAATACGCATTTTTGATTGTCTAGCATCGCCCGACGACGAAAAAGCGTTACCCGACGACCAAAACAACGTTTTTCCCACACTGGAGCTCGCCTAGCGTCGCCCGACGATAAAAAGCGTCACCCCCGACGATAAATGACAGAAAGTTGAAAAACCAACACAATATTCTACATTGTTTCAGCCATAACTTTTGAACCGTAACTTCGATTCGCGCTCGGTCAGAAGGGTTGGAAATCTTATTGAATGCTCTATCTAACAATGCCTAAATATCAATGTTTGGGTACCTATAAAAATGAGATAAAATCAATTAAACTCAATAATATTTACACAATAACGCAATAAATACATTATAACGTAAACTATACCGGATATACACTAAACTTGAGGTTTATTGATAAAAAGCAAACGAATTAAGCCGATGAATGTTAATTATTCACACTCAAATTCGCAAAAATTTAGCACTTGTCACCTCACCAATCTTCCAACCCTTGGTTTGAAGAACTAGGATAAATTGTGCAAAAAAAAATGAAAGTTTTATTTAGGTATCAAGACGTTTTTGAAGTGGTTAATAATGGTGTTACACCACTTGGGGAAGAAGCTACAAATGCTCAGAAGGTTGCATTCAAGGAAGCAAATAAGAAAGACTACAAGGTTGCCATTTGTTTCCATAGGTTTGTCAATTTCTTTTTCACCGTCCATTCCGAATCGTTTCAGTAATTCGAGATAATACTTGGTTTGACACACAAATGTTTCTTTCTAGAGTTGCTTATTTGGAGGCCGAGGAAGTGATTTAACTCCGCATGAGACTCATTTCAAACTCTCTCTGCATAAGCTTAGAGAATTCCTTGACAAGTTTCATGTTAGTAGAACCAAATATGATATAATGTAAAATGTGTTATGCTTGATTTTTATTGAAGCTAAACATACTTACGTACACATAAATATTTATAAAGAATACATGAAAATATAATATGTCACCATGATTATCAATTAAGTATTATTTTTCAAATGAATACTCATAATATATATATATATATATACATCATACTCTAAGTATGTCATGTACTTAGAAAAATAAACAAGTAAAAGAGAGAACTTACTAATAAAGAGAAAATTGAATCAATACTACCTCACCGTACAAAATGACGGAGGATGCACTTGCATTTCACAAGAAACTCTCGAAAGAAAGTTAAACCAAATGCAAAGTATGCCACAAAGACTTTAGAAAATCACGATCTTACCACTTTAAAGTTAGACAAAGTACCAAAAAGTATAACTTATGATAAATCCAAGAAGGTCATTGATTTGATAATCATTCATTT